GGTCCCCCGAAGCCCCCCTTGGGTCCTCACGGTGGGGAAGGAGGGCCGTCTGGTTGTCCCCCGGGAAGACTTATTAACCCGTACATCTAAGTCAGAGCACGACGACTGACTGACTGCTCGGCCGTCGCCCCCCCCCACCAGTCACACAAGCGTGCCGGGGAGAGGGGGGAGGGGGTGCCGTGCGAGCCGATGGAGAGGCGCTAGCCCCGGTGGCGTGTTCCGGAACCTATCCTTCGAATTAGCCGAGTCAGAGAGAGAGGGGGCGGGGAGCGCTTCCGCCCTTGCTAGGAGGGGCTGCATTGCAGGGGAGACCCAGCGGCCCACTCTGTCACAGACGAGGGAGAAGGCGAGAGGAGACAAAGCCGTCTCATCCCCAGCAGCTTCTGTCTGCAGCCTCCTCCTCTCCAGCCCGGAGCCGACCCCCCCCGAGCCCCTGAGGCATTCTCTCCATCTCCGGAACACGCTAGTCATTCATTGATAACAGGTAACCTAGATGAGGGGCAGCTTCTCAAGCTGCAGAGACCCCCGTGTGAGACTAGGAGGGGGTCAGTTTAGAGGAGAGAAGGGGGCGCTATGAACAATGGGTGCCAGTTCGTTACCAGATTTTTTTTTTTTATCTCTGTTAAGATCTCCATCTATGCCTTATCATGGACCTAAGCGTTAATTTCTGACACATTACCTGTGATTATTTCTCGGCATTTAGCTCTTCATTTCATGTATCCATTTTCCTATAATTTTTGCCCTGTGCATCTAATGACTTCTGTCTAGTGTCTAGTTATCTGTATCTTCCTTTTCAAGCTATAATTTTTGCTACCAGTTATTTGGTGAATCTTTATTCCTACTGTAATTGCTGTAGCGTGTACTTCTTTGTTACCACACACACACACATACACCCTGTTCTGTGTCTGTTGTAGTGAGTTTTGGGGAGCAGGGTGCACCTATTTCCTTTTAATTTTCTTTCTTTTTAGAAAAAAAATATAATATACTATTGAGAGTGATTCGAACCTTTAACAATCCCTTCCCTGTCTCAGATTTTTACTCCAAAGAGGCTTGAGGTAGGACAGGTGGGGGCAACTGTGGATTTCCTGATGGCATGTTGCAACCAGTGCAGCCCACAGGAAGTACTGATGACAGCGATTTTTTTCTTTGCAGCCCCTCCTAATTAGCGGGGAAGGTTGTGGCTAATAGGAAAATCATAGCGCAACATGAGAAATACCAGAAAGCTGCCATTGGTGTCCCCCCTCTCCTTAGACTGTGCATGGTGGCAGCATGACACAGCAAGGCCCTATGGAGTAGGCCTTGGATGCTTGTGGGGGGCGGGGGAGGAGGTGTCTGCACAAAGGGTATTTGGGTGTGCCCATATGACTTAAAGAAAGTGTATCTTTTTAATGTGTGTAGTTATTAATCATTGTATCTCTAAGAATTACCAATGAAATTTACAAGTTACTTTGTCTAAAATATCTGGATAGTTCAAAATAGATGGCATTGGGAAACATTTATAGAACATTATCATGACCTCAGTCACGTCTAGAGCCTTTAAGGTCAACAAAAATAGGTAAAAAGGTGGGCAAAGAGCATTTACCTGAGGAAAAGGGAAGCCAGTTTAAAGCAGCCTGTCCCTTTTTTTTTTTTTATTTTATTTATTTTTTTTTTTTTAACACCACAAACGCCTATATGTCTGTTTTCTGCATCAAATTTGGGTCTCTGTACATGTCTCTGGGCTGGAGATTTTCAGCCTTTTAATATTTCCACACAATTTCTTTTAAATTGTTTTATTTTGAATTGTTTTTGTGTTTTGTTCATGTTCTTTTGGTTATTTTGTTTTTGAGGGGCCCTGGATTCACTGTGCATTCCAGGCTAGGCTTCAGTCTCCTGGGGGCTGGGATTGCAACTGTGTGCTGCCATGCCTGACTTTAGCTATTTCAATTTGAAAATAGTTCTGCCAGTCTCTGATAAATCATTTAGGCAACTTTTATACATTTACACTTGTGAGGAAAGGAGTTAGTTTGCCGATGCTGACTTAAATTCTAGTTTATTCTCTACTCTATTTTTCAAGATAGAGTTCCTTGTAGCAGGCTTACATCAAACTGGCTCCACCTGCCAGATGCTGGGGTTACAGGCATTTACTACCATACCCAGTCCTCCTCCTATTCAGATTAGAAACACAGAAAGTAGTCAACACAATATACTAAGAAAATAATTATTTTGAAGACTAAATTCTTACCTGAGAGTAGGGGCACATGGCAGGGATTCCAGGTTAGAAGCCAGCACATGGGCTACATGTCAAGACCTTGTTTGAGAAACAAAAATAAAACCACAAATAAATGTCTTTTTTTAGACAGGCTCTCACTGTGTAACCCTGGTTAACTTGGAACTCACAGAGATCTATCTGCCTTCCTCTGCCTTCCAAGTGCTGGGATTAAAGGCATGCGCCACCACTGCCTGGTCAAGATTTTTTTTTTTTAATGATTTTTATATGTATTGGTGTTTAGACTGCGTGTCTGTGTGAGGGTGTCAGATCCCTTTGAATCAGAGTTACAGACATTGGTGGGCTGCCATGTGTGTGCTTGGAATTGAACCAAGGTTCTCTGGAAGAGCAACCAGTACTCTTAACCTCTAAACCATCTCTCCAGGGTCCCACTCCCTATCCCCCATCCCCATCAAAATCCATAACATGCTGGCACATGTTTATATTCCTGGCTCCAAGGAAGCTGAGACAAGATTGCTGAGAGTACCAGGTCAGAGCTGGGGAGGGAGATGGTTCAGTGGGAAGAGCGGTCTTTACCCACCCAAGTGTGAGGACCTGAGTTGTAATCACCAGACCCCATGTAACGCCAGGTGTGGGAGTATAGCTGTAACCCAGAGTACAGCACAATAGAAGGCAGAAGAGGAGAAGCTCCAGAAGCTCCCAACCCAGCTTGCCTGGTTTACAGGGTCACACAAGGTAGAAGGCAGGATGTGGACACCCCAGCCCCCCTCACAAACCCAATATACACAGTTTTTAAAAAAATTAAAACAAAACAAGAAAAAACTTTTTTTTTTTTTTCCATTTTAAGCCAGGTGTGATGGTGATGCCTCTAGTCTCAGCACCCAGAAGCTGGAAGTGATGATTAGAGAGGACCTTGAGTTTCAGGCTAGCCCAAGCTATATAGCAAGTTTCTACATAGCCTGGGCTACATAGCTAGACCTTAGCCCAAAAGAACAAAAACTTTTTTCCCAATGATTCTTTTTTTTAAAGAACATATTATATAATCTGGGTGTCAGAAGGATCAGAAGTTCAAGGTCAGCCTCTGCTATTTTGGGCTACCTGTGACATTGTCTCTGGAAAACAGTCCATTATATGGCGAGTATTATGAGGTGACTCTGTGGGAAACTTATAAGGGAGGAGTTTTTTCAAGTCAGCTAGCTAGGCAAAACCTGGTGATGTAATAAACATCCCTGATAAGCAGTCAGTAACAGCCTCACTTCTGAGGCTTGCTCATTAGTGTCTAGTTCAGGACCTAAGTGGGGATTGGTTAGCTAAAAGGTGTTATAGGTGTAGTCATGTTTGCTAGCTCTCTGCAAGTTGCTATGGAGATGATCAGAGCTGAGTTCATAGGGCAATGACCTCACCTTTCTACAAACTCTTTGGCCCTGCTTCAGTCCCTGCATCACGCTCTTGTTAAACAGCTTCTCTGTTGAGTAATGCTCAGTTCCTGGGGGCTTATTTTGGAGCTTGATTAAAGATAGAGACAAAGGAGGAGGGAGGGGGAGGGAGGGAGGGGAAGAGAGAGAGAAGGAAGAAAGAAAGGGAGGGGGAGGGAGGGAGGGGAAGAGAGAAGGAAGAAAGGAAGGGGGAGGGGAGGAAGGGGAAGAGAGAAGGAAGAAAGGAAGGCAACTCCTCAAGCTCTTTCCTGAGTCTCTTGATTGCTGGGATTATAAATAAATTGGCTAGTGCTAGTATTTTTTAATTTATTTAACTTTATTTTATGTGCATTGGTGTGAAGGTGTTAGATCCCCTGGAACTGGAGTTACAGTTGTGAGCTGCCATGTGGGTGCTTGGCATTGAACCTGGGTCCTATGGAAGAACAGCCAGTGCTCTTAACCACTGAGCCATCTCCAGCCCTGCTAGTATTTTTTTAATGTTATTAAAAGGTCATGGGATGCCGGGTGTTGGTGGCGCACGCCTTTAATCCTAGCACTCGGGAGGCAGAGGCAGGTGGATCTCTGTGAGTTCAAGGCCAGCCTGGTCTCCAGAGGGAGTGCCAAGATAGGCTCCAAAGCTACACAGAGAAACCCTGTCTTGAAAAACGGTCATGGGATGTCCTGAAGGTGGTTGTCGAACACCTTTAATCCCGGCACTTGGGAGGCAGAGGCAGATGGATCTCTGTGAGTTTGAGACCAGCATGGTCTACCAAGCAAGTTCAAAGGCAGCCAGAGCTGTTTCATAGAGAAAACCTGTCTCGAGAAATCAACCAAACAAACAAACACATGAATCTGAGTTCAAATCCCCAAATAAAAAGCTGGGTGTGGTTGCCTACATCTATAGCCCCAGAAGTATGGGAGGGTGGAGACAGAAGGCTCTCTTGATTTATTGTCCACCAGCCTAGCTCCAGGTTCAGTGAGAGAGGTGTCTCAGGGGACTAGGGCACATATTGATAGAGCAGGACACCTTCTGTCATCCCCTTACCCCTTCCACACATTCAAGGGTATGATGCCCTTACGAACACCTGTGTCTGTCTGTCTTTGCACAAGATTAAGGGGAAAAAGAAAAGTCTGAAATTGACTGTGTGGTATGCTGACCTGGAATCCCAGCTCTCTGGAGACTGAGGCAAGAGGATTACCAGAAGTTTGAGGCTCAGGTGGACTACATACTGAGTAGCAGCCAGCATTACAGAGGAAGACCATGTCTCAAAAAAACAGCCCCAAAGTTCTGACCTGGTGTGATTCATTCCTGTAATTCCAGCACTAGGGATGCCTCCCCACCATAGCTTTGTGTTCAAAGTTTGCCTGAAGACTCAAAAATGAAAAGCCACCTCTGGTCTACCCACCCACCATTTAGCACCTGCACTTCTGCAGATTGTGTTCAAGGTTAATTTCCCTGCTTTGGTAGAGGTATTTCACATTATATAGGGACATTTTGGAACCTACTTAAGGCCACTTTTTAGGAGTCATGGGCTGCTAAGAGCTGATAGTGTGTTCCAGAAAGGTCTTTTGAAACTCTGGCTTCTATTTTTGGTGGCGGTGGAATGTTCTTTTTGCTCCTTTGGGAACATTTCATCTAAAGTTTCTTGCCCTTTCCCTGGCTAGTAAGTAACCCATGGAGGCGCCAGAGAGCTCTGCTAGTCATAGAGTCAGGAAGTGTGGGTTAGTTTAGAGGCAAAGGTACTACAACAGATTGTTAAAACATGGAAAGAGGAGTTGGGCATAGTGGCACATGCCTTTGATCCCAGAACTCAGGAAGCAGAGGCTGTCAGCTCTTGGTGAGTTTAAGGCTAGCCTGGTCTACCTAGTGAGACCCTGTCTCAAGAAAAAGCTGAGATTCTGTTAAGGTACCATTTCCTCCAGATATAAATTTTACTTCCAGCCTGGTTGGTCTCTGATGTCAGATTTACCCTCCCATGTGGTTCCTGGTTAGTGGAAGAAAGTTACTCTAGCATCTGGGTTTGTTTTGAGGATAGGCCAGGAGACATAATGAAGATCGTCACTCCAGGGACAAATATGTGAGAGTAACAAAGTATCCACTGTGCTAGTGAGGGCAATTTAATGTTTATATGTAAGGTCTACCTCCTGCCTTGCCCAAAAGTAGATGCGTTTTTTGTTTTTGTTTTGTTTTTTGCTTTTTTGTTTTGTTTTTAGGTAGGCTCTATCCCTGGCTGTCCTAGAACTTAGAGATGCCTTTTCTCTGCCTCCCAAGTGCTGGGATTCAAGGCATAAGCCACCAAGCCCAACTTAGTAGATGGGTTTTTACCCATAGAGGAATTTTTCATCTCTTTAAGGAGATAACACATAAAACATATCCAGTCTCTTGTGATCTGTAGCCACTCTGCAGGGTGCTGGGGAAGGCACTGCGGGCAGCTGGGTTGATGGAGCCCAACTGTTTTGGGGTGATATCCTGGAAGAGGTGAGTTTGTAGTTGAGTTTAAAGGCAAGAAGAAAAATAGAACATGTTATGAAGACCTTTCCAGAGCATAACTTATTAAATAGACTTGAAGAAGACATATATTTAGTTCTGGTAATGTATAGGGTCTTTGACCAGCATATGCAAAGTCCTGGCTTTGAGTCTCAGCACAGTTTATTAATTAATTGAGCAGGCGTGTAATCCCAGTTACTTGGGAGGCTGAGGCAGGAAGATTTCAAGTTCAAGGTTGGACTGGGCAAGTCAGTAAGATCCTGTCTAAAAGTAAAGGTGAAAAGAGGGCTTAGGGTATAACTCAGGGTTAGAACATTTGCCTAGCACACTCCCAGTTTCTGTTAACCCCTCAATACCACATAAACAAGAGTGGGGCCAGATTTTGGAAAGCCTCAGAAATCAGATGTGAGGGAAAATTAGAGCCAAGGTGAGCCTGATACAACATATGGTCCACTGAAGATGGTGAGAAGTTAAGAGCTGGTGCAAAATTGTAGCACAAAGTGGTCCTGGTACTTCTCTTAGAAAACTTGGCTTATTCACCAGAGCAAATAGAAAAGAGCAGCTTAAGCAAGTGAGGGCTTGGGGAAGGAGCTTGCTCTAGCATGAAGAATAACAAATCATTTGCTCTTCCCAGGGAATTATGAGGGACCCTGTGAGTAGCCAGTACAGCTCCTTTCTTTTCTGGAGGATGCCCATCCCAGAACTGAATCTGTCGGAGCTGGAAGACCTGGGCCTGTCAGATACACCTACCTACAAGATCGAGGACAGCAACGTTGGCAAAATGGGTGGTCAAGCAACCGGAGCAGAGCAGAAGAACCCTGAAGGTGACCCTCTCCTTGAATATAGCACCTTCAACTTCTGGAGAGCTCCTATTGCCAGCATCCACTCTATTGACCTGGACTTGCTTTAAGGCCAAAACGTCTCTCTCCTACCCCTTACCCTCATTGCCTTCCTTTCTAAGCCTTTCCCATTTTAATCTTGTTTTGTTCCCTCTATTGTGCTGGTGGTGCTGATGTCTGCCAAATGAATTGTATGTATGTACATATTTATTTCTTATTTATTTATTTATTTATTTATTTATTTATTTATTTATTTGTCCATCTGCCTGCCTGCCTACTCCATTTCTCTCAAAACCCTTCTAGGCACAAAGTCAAGGGTTTAGTCATTGGAGTACTAGAGAATAGGATTTCCACCCCCAGCCCTGAGAATATTAACTAGTCCTAGAAAATCATCCTTAATGGGGGCACCAGAGAGAAGTAACAGTTGTACAAAATGGGAGACCTTTGTTTTTTTATGTTACATTTAAATCAGCTTCAGAAATTTCCTTGATCCTCCCTAATTTCCTGCACGAGGCCAGTAAGCAAATATTTCTTAAAGTAGTAGTGAGAACTGGAAGTTTTGAGATGCTTTCTACAAATCAGGATTCCTAAAAGGCTAAGGTAGTAAGTTCTGTTCCTTCTTTTGCACATTCTCTTCCCCAGAAACATGGGGATACAAGAGGAAGTAATATATCCTGCAGAATGGAAATGGGGAAAAGCATGGTGCCATTTCGGATTTTTTTTTTTTTTTTTTTTTTTTTTTTTGAGACAGGGTTTCTCTGTGGCTTTGGATCCTGTCCTAGAACTAGCTCTTGTAGACCAGGCTGGTCTTGAACTCAAAGAGATCCTCCTGCCTCTGCCTCTGCCTCCCAAGTGCTGGGATTAAAGGCATGCACCACCATCACCTGACTCAGAAATAGTTCATTTAGTATCCACCTCAACTGTTCCCAGCTATGGGTTGGAAACTTTTCAGACAATCCATCTTCGTGGGGAAACCTTCATATTAGGATAATCCATAAAAGGTAAAAGATTTATATGATCTAAAGAGAAACCATAGTATTAGGATAATTTATGTAAAATTGTGATTCAGTCACAGGACAGGCAGAGTGTTTTGGGTTTTAGTATTTCAGCTTTGCCTTTCTGCAGTTGTAGTGTGTGATAGGGATTGATGGTTCCTGGGCATGGTTCTTCAGCTACTCTAAGACCGTTCGTGAAATAAGCAATTATATTGAGACCCTACACCTGTCCTCATTCCTTCCAGAATTATTGCTGCTGATTTGTGCTGCCATTTATTTAATAAAGATGTTGAATCCTGTCTGGATTTTGGTTTTCTCTCTTCTCGTGAAGTACTACAGATCTTACAATTTGTGCATGCTTCCACCTCGGCTTTTCGTTTTATCTTTCCTTTTTTTTTTCCTCTGAGACAGGGTTTCTCTGTGCAGCTTTGGAGCCTATACCGGTACTCGCTCTGGAGACCAGGCTGGCCTCGACCTCACAGAGATCCACCTGCCTCTACCTCCTGCGCCACCAACGCCTGGCTTTGTTTTATCTTTCTAATACTGACTTTGAATTAGATGGATTTGGGATGGATGTAACTGGTGGTAGAAGTGCTTGTCAGTCATTTACAAGGGCCTGCTAGAGTTCCTCAATAAACAGCCAGTGCTCCTAAACCCTAAACCACATCTCCAGCCCATTCTTTTTTGTTTTCGAGACAGGGTTTCTCTTGTCCTGGCTGTCCTGGAATTTGCTTTGTAGTCGATTGGACTCACAAAGAGCCAAATGACCACACCCGGCACCCCAGCCCATTCTTGACTTTATTTTTAACTTATTTGTGTTTCGTTTGTTCATTGTTGTTGTTGGTTTGTTTTTGAGACTGGGTCTCACTAGCTGTCCTGGAACTCACTATGTACACCAGACTGGCTTTGAGCTCACAGAGATCCCCCTGCCTCTGCAGGGGTGTGCCTCCACGCCCACATTGTTTGCAATTTCATGCTCCATTCTCTTCCAATCTCCCCCAAAAGGTTTGAGTTTTGTCTTCCCCGAGACGAGGTCTTTATATTCAGGCCATAATTGGCAAAGTGTCTGGTCAGGCAGGTGTCCGATTCGCGTGCATAGCCAAGAATGTCCAGAACAGTCTCACCGAGGTTGAGTCTCCCCCAACCCTAAGGCTACCCCTGTGGAGGGCCCGTGGGAAGGTGGAGCGCAAACTCCAAGAAGACCAGTAACCTAATTTTCTCTTAGCCCTGCACGCCTTGGCGCCAAAACTACCATCTCGGTCCGTCCCCTGCCGGAACTATGCCTCACGTAAGCCACGTAATCAATGATCCTGCGCCTCGCTAAGTAGTCCCGTTCATGATGCTCTCAGTACACGCTTTTCCACTTGAAGAGGTTTTCAGTAGGAAGAAATCAGCCTCAGAGGTGCGTTGCGGTCTTGACAGAAGGGCAAAGTGAGTTTTCTAACCCGTTTCCTCCAGATTCCTCCGCCAGGAGGCATAGTCACCGGGCCTTCACTTCCGGGTCCGCCATTTTATTGCCTCCATTTCTCCGCGAGGGGGGGGTAAAGGTCCCCCAAATATGCATATGCGAAAGGGCCAAAAAGTGACGGCCGCGGGCAAGGAGTCTTAACTAGAGGAAGAAAGGGGACCAAACTGGCGGGCCCAGTAAGAGCGAAGCCGGCAGCGCTCCGGACGAGGTGAGGGGAAGCAGACGCGGGGTTGCGGAGCGTCCGCAGCGCCGTGGAAGCGCGGTGACAAGTGCCCAGCCCGGCCGGGAGCCGTGGGCGCGGGCCGGAGCCTGCCGGAGCGGGGGTGGCAGCGGGGAAGAGGGACGCAGAGGAAGGGGATGCTGTCGGGAGGAAGGGGAGGGGACTGGAGGAGGTGAAGGGGGTGGGTGAAGACCTGCGGCTGGGGAGCCGGACTCCGGGAAGCCCAGGCCAGCGAGGTGACCGCCAGGGGGCAGCGTGCAGCAGGAGTCCGGGCTGCCGCCAGCCTCACACTCGGGGTTCCGGCCTGCAAGTTGGCGCCCCTGTTTTTGGCAGACGGAGCGCTGGTGTGAAAAACTGAAGGGTATT